GTGGTAGCGGGTACGAGGAAAAATTTCCCAGATGTGTAAAATAAATAAATAAAAATAACACTGAGATTTGTAGGACCATAAATGTCTTATAAAATAAATAAAATAAGCCTGTGAAATAAAATAAAATGCCTGAGAACTAAGTGTTCTAGGAGGTTAAATAAATATTCTTCATTTAATAATCAGTTGAAGTACATCATAGTTTTGTAGAATCATCATTACGTTTGACTGAAGGGGTACTAGTGGTATGGCAAAATGGCTCAGAGGGTACACAAGTCTAAAAAGGTTGGGAACCACTGGTCTAGAAATACAGTATATTGCGAATACAGTAGTTCAGGGGCCACATGTGGCTCTTAGCAATGTTTCCTCCAAAAGTAAAATAAATTAATATATTTATGTAGAACAACACAAAAAAAGTTAGCTGTGTCTTCAGGTGATATGTAAAAATATGGTAAGTTTTTTCAAGACTTATGCAAATAAAACATTTTTTCACAAAATTGTCATAAATGAAAACATTGATCAGTGTGTTTTAAATAAATATCCAACTGTCCTAATTTTTATGTTCACTCAAATAAATTACTGGGGTGTAAATATATAATTTGCTCATTTAAAGTGTAGTATTTCTTAATTATCTATGGACATACAAATAATGACACACCAATTGTTTAAATTAATTTATATTACCAGCAAACCATTATTGTCTTTACATTATTTACAAAAACTTCACAACTTTATAAAACAGCCTCACACTCACAAACATAAATACATTTGTAAAGAATCTTCCAAAGAAAAGTGATAAATGGCACATCCAGGAGACAAGTTTTATCAACAGTGTTGCATAATGTTTCCTATTTGACAAACAAGAGCACTAAAACAGGCACATTTTACAATAACAGCTGCAAGAAATACTCAGTGTTCAATTGCTATGACATAAATCCCTTAAAAGATTCAACCGAACCAGGGAGCCAGCCCTTTTAGTCATCAAGAGTTGCATCTCTGAGTCTCTTCAAGAAAATAGTTACAGCTACAAAATGCTAATTTTTCATTCTCCTTTGATTTCTGAGGGGAAAAAAATGTGGTAAACGCAACACACTTTAGTGCAATTAGCAAATAAGCTTGATTTTAAATGATTAAATATGGAARTCATTGAGAAACAGCGACACCTGCTGGTTGTGTTTATAAAACGCAGACATGATGACAAGAATAAAAAAAAACATGTTTGAAAGTTTCTTCTTGCATTTTTAAATCCCTTTGGTTTCAGTACATCCTCTTCATAAATAATGTGGTCCTTCTCAGGATTTGTGTTCCAGAGTGTTTTTCGTTGTTGATCGTTCCGCCTCAGTTTTTCTTCTCGTCTCCTGGAAGGAAGTAGGGGTTCTCGTGACCTCCTTGGACCAGATACGAGTAACGAGATGAATGTTTACCTTTGAAGGTCTGCATATCATCTGGGTCCAGATCGTACGATCCCGACTGAAATGTCAGCCGAAGAAGATTATATTAGCTTTTTAATGAAAAGTCATTTTGTACATTTAACCCCCCCCCCCCCAAAAAAAAATAAAAAATAAAAAATAAAAAATAAAACACACACAGAGGCTGTTCAGATTGTATTTAATACAAACCACTAAATATTAGTAGTCTCCAATAGTCACAGCCCAGTGAAATACTCTTTTCCAGGTAAGAAGTCTGCTGTTTGTGTGGGGTCACACAGGGGCGGAGCTAGAGGGGTGGCCTTGGCAGGTGATTGGCCACCCCCAAATAATGGACAAGTGTGTGCAGATCTTGGATTTTTTTGTATTTGCATTCAGAATTTGTTAAGTTTGTTCTCMGACACTACGGTACTATACATTTTCAGCTGTAAGTGTTCAAAAATGGCTGAAATAAAGCTTCTTGTAAAGTTAYCGTTAGCATTAAATGTTAGCTTAATTTAGGATTAGAATCTGCAAACAGCATGTGATCATTCTTTGCT